CAGACTGACAGCAGAAAGCAAAGTGAGACACAACTGAGTGGATGGTCCATATTTCATTTACCTGACAGCCCTGAGCCTTGAAGGAATGAGGTGATGAATATATTGAGAGGCTGAGAACATAACATGCAGCAGGAGCACCAGTACAAGCATTTGGGTGTTTGTTAGGTAAGTCTTCAGAAGAAATAATCTAAGAGTGCAAGAGCAAACATGCCCATAAGCATCCTTACTTTCCAGAGTACTATTAGTAACAAAAACATGTTAAATCTGTATTTTCAGGTACACCATTTGAAAAAGAATCTCAGAACTAAAATTAAGGGCAAAAGCGTGACTGGCAGCCAGGTGCGTTTGTAAACAGAAGAGATGCAATTAAAGACTAGCATCTCTGAATTGTGCCCTCAAAACTTTCACAGTACAACTTTGAGGTAAGGTTAATAGGCTAATAAGTGAGAGACTGCATAGAGTGTGAGCCTTACATTGCTTTAAAATGTGGTTTGCAACAGAAAAGTCAGACATGGTAATATTTTACAGGGATTTAAAACAAATATTTTTCATGCATTAATTCAATGAGCACATTTGCTGTGGGCAGGATTTACGACCAGCATATCTGTTCACCATGACAAATTTTACCAATAGCAACAGCATTGCTACACATAATGACAACCAAAGAAATCTTTATCTTGACTTAATTCAATGCACAAAGTATTAGGAAATTTAATCAAAATTCTATCTCCTTTCTAAGCATTTAAATAATTATTCTTTTTCAAGCATTCATTCTATTCTTACCATTGCAATCTGGTCTCAGAAAAACTTGGCTAGAGTTTAAAAATTTAAAGGCCAGGGTTAGAAAGGGAAAGTTGTACTCATTTTCAGCATCTTTGCTAAGAATGCATTAATTAGATCCTACATCATGCCAGTGTTACTTTTTGTTACTTAACTAAGGAAAAAAATAGTTGCTTAAATTTAGTGTCCATATATTTACAAGTAGCTACTGAATATTATCTAAGAGAAAGCTTCTCAAAACAAGGTTTTCCAGGAAGAGCTGTCTCGAAGATGACTGAAGAATGAAGACACATTCTTTTGCAGACTGTTTCAGATAAAAAGGGATTTCGACTTGCCTGCATTTTGCTTCTGGGGCAATTAATTATTCTACCGTCAGCTTCCTCTGTTATATTAGAATTATCCACCAAATTTGAAATTGTAGCTATATACTTGCAGCTACTATAATGTTGAACTCAACTACATACAGACACAAATCAAGAAGCCAGAAAGCAACATGCACTGCAGGGATTTAGCTCTGTACTCATTAAGACTAAACACCATAAGGAATGTTGGGTCCTACTAGCCTTTTATGTTCAGAGGAATATGAAAAATCCAGATTTCTTGTGTGTGGAGCTCACAAAGGTCAAAAGGCATATTTATTTCACTAGGATACAGCTTTCTTCCTATGAATTTGATTTGAGCAGGTGAGATGAAAGCAGTGAGACAGCAACGCCATATTTTGAGTTGCTATGAATAACAATCAATGCCATGCTTCATACTGAAAAAAATTACAATAAAAACATTTTTAAATCTGAAGAATCATTTTTTCTTCTTGACACAAGCATCTCTTGCAAGAAAATGGGATGTGTTACAAGCTTTTAAAAACTAGATGTCACAGAAACAGTAACTAAAAGAAATAGTCAAAGGACTCCAACAACATCCTTGAAGACAAGATTTTTTGCAGCAGCTATACATGGTAAGTATCAGAATTCAATACAAAACTTTTCATGGAAAGAGACAAAACAACTGACATGTTTTGCTTAAGAACTCAAGTATAGTTTTCTCACAATCACTGAAATGCAATTTTTATGTTTCTTCTAAGACTTTCCTGTATAGACATCTAGAGCCAATACACACCATGTATGTCAGTCTATTCTCTTTGTTTCCTTTGTTTCTTTCTAGAATGCTGCTATAGTTTATTGCTGACACACTACAGTAAAATCAAAAAGTAAGTAACAATAAGCCTCACCAATAACAACATTGATGAAAATCTGTAACAGGTGGGTTCTTATCCACTCACTTTCTCTGCATTATGAATGCAATATTTCAGAAGGAATATTCTGACAAAGCCAGAAAACTCTGCAGTGCTTAGCTAGCAAAATAGGTCAAGCATTTCAGAAGAAGCTCAGCTAAAAATATCTTCTTTTACGAGACCTGACTAAAACATAAGGTTTGCCTGAGCAGAGGTGTTTATCAATGGGGTTTGAATGTGCATTTCCCCAGCTGCAAAGCTGCATCTCCAAGAGCAGAGTAAGCTGAGTCATGTGGAGGGTGAGACAGAGGACATGCTGCAAATCTTGTAACTCATGATGGACAGAAAGTACAGTAACTCCATCACTCAACTTCAAAGCTCAACTACTTTACAGATCAACACAAACAATACCAAATTCCAGAGCAACCTCTGTTCTGGGGAATTTTTGAAGTGAGGGATTGTTTGGCAGGTGGGGAGGAATGTTCTGGTTTTGAACAGGACCAGTGTTTTGTGTAATTATTTATTTGAATATCTGCTAAAAAGTTAACAAAAACATAACTTACACACAAATAGGAACTTACTCTTTCTTGCCATTTACGAGTTATATTACATTTACCTCTCTTGGTGATAAAATTCTGTTGATCATTTCTTGCCAAACCAAACATCCTTGGGTGCCCATTTTTATAATTAAGCTTCTAAAATTAACCTAAAAACAGCTGTGCTTTTTAATCTTTATAGTAGGGTCACTGCTAATGACTTCTTGCAGCTAAAGCCCTGCTTGTACTCATACTGATAACATTATCTTAATTTGTCCTTGACGTTAAAAAAGTATGACATAGTAACTAGCTCCTCTCTCTCATTCCCACAGTACTTAAAAACCAAACAAAACCAAACACTGCTCAAAAGCAGATTTTTCCAAAACACTGACAATCCTCTGGAAACCTACTGATCATTTTTTCTGTTTGTCAAATGGGATTCATCATGTTAAGTCTGGACTTCACTACAAATGAGGGTTGTATCATTTGTACAATGATACAACTCCTCTTCCACCTCAAAACAAAATTTAAGCAAAATAATTATGAGTTTTGTAAAGTGTTATTCTGCTAATATATGCACATCCCCAAACTGAATAACTGTACACTCCTTACATGTTTACTTCAAAGGAAGTGTAACAGCAGTGAATGGCAGGTTAGACTCAAAAGGAGAGCAGAGACAAGGCAGGACATGAAGGTAAATAAACACAGAGCCACAGGTGGAGCAGCAGGAAAATGTAACGAAAAAATGAGAACCTATGAGTGGTTATAGAAGACCATATTTTTCAGAAGAGTACATGGAATTCTTGCTTAGGGAAAAGTCTTAATGGTAGGAGGGATCCAGGAAACTAACACCTACTTTTCAGAAAAGATTAGAGAAAGGACATCCAGATACAGAATTAAAATGTGTTAACCAAAAGCTTCTAGTCCTAATCTAACACATCTTCCCCACAAACTACTCTTTTTAAAAGCAGCTGTCCCAAGTCACAGTATATGACTATGCTTCCAAGAATACCTAAGCAATTTGGTGACTGGTACCATGCCTACACTTGCAATTTCCACTTACACCGACTGAGTAGTACCTTACTTAAGACTGGAAGAGTCAACTGTAGTTTAGAAATGTCCTGTGGTTTACTAATATTGTTTTTGTCCTGTTAGGCACGCTGAAACAATAATTTTGTTTTTTCAGAAGCATTAACAGATACTAGTGTTTTCTCCATGGGCTATTTTGACTAAATTTAACATATTGGTGTAGTTTAACTACAGTAGGTGCTAAACCTTCTGCAGCCACTCACTCCCCTGGAACAACACAGGGGGAGAAAATCAAAATGGTCTAAGTGAGGAAACTCAAGGTTTGAGATAAAGAGCATTTCAAAGCTATAACAAAAGCTGCACATGCAAAAAAAGCAAAGCAAGGAAGTCATTCACCACTTCCCACAGGCAGGCAGGTGTTCAGTCAGCCATCCCGAGGCAGCAGGGCTCCATCACAAATAATGGTGACTTGGGAAGACAAACGCCGCCGCTACAAACATCCTTCTTCCCCCAGCTCTATATGCAGAGTACAACATCACATGGCAAGGAATGTCCCCTTGGTCAGCTGGAGTCAACTGTCCCAGCTGTGTCCCCTTCCCTACTCCTTGTGTACCCCAAGCTTACTCACTGGTGCAGTAGGGTGAAACAGAAAAGGGCTTGAAGCGCTGCTCAGCAGTAACAGAGAACACCTCTATGTTATCAGCACTATTCCATGCTAATTTACAAATCCAAAACACAGTATCATACGAGCTACTATGAAGAAAACAACAACAAAAACAGTCTGTAAATGGCACCAGCAAGAGCCCCTTGATGATATTCAAACCTTTACTGTATTTGAAAGCTGGTTTTATGGAAAACAAATTTCCTATTTCCAGTACTGCTTAACAGCTCTTTCTTGTGATCACAAACACTTTATTCCTAGACTCTATGCTCCTCTTCAATAACTTCTGCAAGACATTTCCTTATTATACGTTTTCCCTACAGCCTGTGCCACCAGGGGACCCTGCTGCTGAGGGCTTAGCAGAGGACCAGCTGCCTGGTTTCAAACAGAAATTTGAGAAGGAGGTGACAGAGCAGCCTAACAAGCATTGTGAAGCTCTGGTAACAAATACACCAGGCTAACTCCTCCATACCCTTCAATGCCTAAATAGTTTAAACATGCTCTAGAAATGGGAAATTTTCCAACAGTGTCTAGCAGACTGTTTCAAATGGCCATTTTTTCTTGAGCAAGTGAAAATAAGTCAACATGTATTGTAAGGCTGCTGTCAATATAAATTCTGATGCATTGCTTGTTATCAAGACGCAAAATACTCAAATGCTTTTGGTGTTTATATTTACTTTGAAGCCCTTATTTATATAAATAAGATTAAAACTGAAGTAAGAATTAATAACAAATAATAAGCAATAAAACTGAAAGTACTTACATTAAACTTAATAATGTCATATATCAAGTACCGAGGGACAACCTGTCCATTAACCTTGTCGATGATCATCTCCTTAAAAGAAAAGAAGAGGCATTGGCATTTTTTTTCACAAATATAAAAGAAGAATGTTGACACATTTATACTTAGTGCATATACGTGCAACCATGATGCAATCAAACACTGGCCACATCTTTATTACAAAAAATATTTTATAACTGGTCAAGATTATAAAAATATTATTTTTAAACAATGGTGGTCTTGAAAGTCTCTCAAGAAGCTTTCAGCAAAACACCAGGAAGCTGTGCTAGGGCTTCCTATTCTGATTGGCAACATTTATACATTAGTTTCCCCACAGCTTTCAAAATCCTGAGTGAATAATGAGTTTTTAAAAACCTCAGTAAGAACTGTGATCCTAACCCAACCAAACACTACTGGAAATCTTGCTCACAATCAGAAGTAAAACAGCAAGGATGTAAAGAACATTCACATTTATTTCCTATGCTCAGGTTGGATCTTTTAATTTTAAAAGCATCCTAGGCAGCAGTGAGAGCTGCAATTTGCTTGAACATTGCACTGTGACTAAACAGGATGGCTCCTTCAGACAGAAATATCACAGACTCTCTCTGCATCACTTGACGTCCGTTAACATTCAGTATGTACCGGTAAATCAGATTGAATACATGTCAGGTAGGGAAAGAATATTAATGATCAACATCCAAACACAAAAATGTTTCCTGAACTTAATGGTACATACAAAAATACATACACCTTACATGGCGGTGCTTACATCTGTAACTCGGGCTTCCTATGACAGGAATTAGACATAGAGTTTGATGAACCAATATGAAGACTAAAAATGGTAACAACCATTGTCTGACAGATCTTTTCCAGAGGCAACTCTGAAATAACCACTTCTCTAAATGCAATCCATCTTCTCCCTCCCTCCCCTACCTGATTCTTGGCTAATGTGCTGTATCAGTTACAGATTTTTTTATTCTTTTAATTTAAAAAAAAAACCCTAAAAGTTGAAATTCCAAATTCACATGAACAAGACAAAACAATTGAAAACAGTGCACTATGACATGATGAAAGCAAAATCAGGAGCTCAAGAATTATTTCAAAAAAGAACATTACATCAACTCTAATTTTGCTTAGTCAATATCTTGCTCTTTTTATGTCTTACAACCTTTTAATTTTTCTCAGAATCCATAGATTCTACAAAATAAAACCAAAAAAGTCTGATTGACTCATGTAGGATTAATTTTCAGTCTGTACAACAATAACAAGATTCTTTAATTGTACCTAGCATCTAACCACAATTTGCTTTGAAAAATAAAAAAGCAGTTCAGCTGTTAAAACAAAGATTTGTTTTAAGGAAAATTTAAAGTTTGAAGCATTTAAAACTAAACTAGAAGACAAGAACATGTTGTTCTCAAAAACCACTAGGAAATCTAAGTTGCCTACTTAATATTTTGGAAACTCATCTTCTGTAAACATAACACTGAGAGAGAGACTGGGATTTCAAAGCCATGTGCAGCATTCACAGGTGCTGTGAATCAATACCTGAGTTGACCTTATACATCATTATGCATAATTTTTAAAAAAAATTAAAAATAGCATTAATCCAACAAGTGAAAGCTATTTCTTTGTAGTATTACAGTATCTTACCTCTAAAAATTTAGTCACAGGCACTGTCAACATGTGCAAAAAAGGTCTACACAGAAGTGATGTAACAAAATGCCATTCTGCTAGTGCCCACGATTTAGGTAGGACACTGGTGAGTTCTTTGAGGAACAACAGACACAATGCTGCAATGCCTTCTTTGACAATAAATTTTATAACTAACTAGAAGAACAGATGGGTAGGACTCAAGAGACAGAAGGCATAATATGCAAACTTGGAAGAGGGTGTAAAGATATAATGCAAGGGGAAAAAAAACCCAGGATAAAAAACCCACCTGAAATTCCAGATAGCAATCAGGTGAAAGAAATAACATAGTAACAGTGAAACAAAAGAATTTTGCTTTTTCATTAACTCTCAGCTGAACTGGCAGGTGAAACAACTGTTTGGAAACACATTTAATTGAGCACATATTTAGGGTTTAAGGACTCACTTTCTCAGTATGCATATTCAGAACCTCAGCTTTGATGCAAAGCTAGCATTTGTATGCAAAACCCTGAAAACATTTCAATGCCTGGTATTACAAGATTTTATGCCTAATTTTAAAAACCTGAATCTCTGCATATTCAGTTTAAGAAGGATTATAAAATACAACAAAGAGGACCAAGAACTGTTTTTAAACATCCTTTGAAGTGTTTATTTTTAATTTTTTCTCTGCTTCAGACATGTAAACATTTTTATTCTATTACTTATCAAACAAGTCTTTTTCCTCATCTCCTCCCTTCTTTTCCCCCCTCCCCTGCCTCCTGTTCTCTTTGACATCCTGACTGAAATCCCAGCTACTAGAGCAAAAAACAGTAGCACAATATTCCTCAGAAGATGAGATGACAAATTCCTGCACTGCACATCTCCATCATGACAACAACATTCCCTGCTCCATTAGTTACGCCAATACAACTGTCATAAGGCAAAAGCTGTAAAGTGAGCACAAGAATGGCTCAGATTAGAAATGCTCTAACACATCATTATTTTACAGTCAGATTTCAGAATCTTCCTTGATTATCAGGATTGAAAAATACACCAGGGAATAGACTCCAGAGACAACTTCAGAGAAGATGGGAAAATGCAGTATTTGAGAAATGACCACAATTAAAATTACTCGTTCGGACCTGAGTAATAACCTGAAACTATAAGACTATATTTAAGCCAATTTTTAGATAACTAAAAATTTAAACCCAAATCCACTCACAAGACATGTTGACACAACATAGAAGTATCCATAAGGCACACCAGCATCCATGCAGTTCTCTCTATAGACTCCATGCAGATTTACAGCCAGTATTGTGTGCTTTAAAACTACCTCTGCTATTAGCACTTGTCCATTAGCTGCTGGTTTAGGTATCCCCTTAACCCATGGGCCTGAAGAACAAAGGTCCAGTGATCAATTAATTCAATGTAATCTGGCAATACTGTGCTGGTGTTACTCTCCTCGATCCTGTGGTGTTGCAAAGCACAATTGTACGGTATATTAGACCTGCAACAGTGTGAAGAGCTTTTTGCTGGACAAATACCAGAAGAACGGTGCTGGACTGAGAGCTCATGGACTTTTTTCCTTGAATCACATCTCTAGAGAGTAACTCAGATGAAAATAATCCAAAATTCAATCAAAGCAAAGGATCCAATTTTACCAGCCGCTTGCAGAATGTATTTTTTGTTGACACAGAGTATGGAATCAGATCTAATAATGCATCTGTTTGTTGTTCCTTTTCCTCCTGTGCCTTTTCTTAATCCTTTATCCATTTATCTTTAACACAATTCTAGTCACTGCTGTGTTTCAGGAATGAAAACAGGGTTTGTTTCTTGCCTTTTTTCTTAAATCCATTTTGCATAAATCTATTTTGCACCAGCTTTTGCAAACTCAAGTTTTAAGTTCTGCAATTTCTGAGACAGCTGACAAATAGGTAAGGTTTCTACTGATACAAAAACATAAATGAATCTTTATCTTGCTCTCCATTTATGGAGTTCCTGGCCCTCTAGGTCTTCAAGTGTGAACAGCATTTTTATATTTAAAAAAAAAAAGATTAAAAAATTGTATTAAAATTGTAAAAGTTATTTCAAGCCTCAGGATGCCTCTGCCTTTTCCACTCAACTGTTCAAAAGCTAAGCAGAATGCCAAGAAAGCTCCTGAAAATAGCTATTTAGGTTTTTCTCCATGACAGCCAAAACATTTGAACAAAACTCTATGCATTCCCTCAGATAGCACTATGGGTGCAGAACACTTGGCTTCTAAAGGAATAAGTCATACTAGTCACCTGTAGGTGAAATTTAAATTAGCTTTAATGAGCTTTGCAGAAAACTTTCTTCCATGACAGGAGAACAACTGCAACTGAAAAGCTGGAGATGAGCACAGAGCATTGCAGATCTGTCATCACCCGAGATGTAACTGATCATAAGAACTGTTTGCAAGTCATTTCAGCCTGAAGTGAACCACAAATGCATCTGAAATTCTCAAAGACAACCACATGAAAGGCTTACACCAGAGGCCTTAAAGCAAGTTAATAGATCCCTGAATGCATGGAAATTGCCTTTATGAAAGTTTCATGTACACTGTCATTCTAAATAATGTTAGGGGGACATTAATCTTTTGTATTCTTAAACCCAGTAGTTGTTTGCTGCATGGCACTGATATTTCTGTTTTCTCTTTCCTTTTTTTCCTCATATTTTTAAGAATACTGTAAAGCAATATTGATTGGACCACCTCATTCTATACTTCCATTCCCTGAAAGAGAGAAAGCTACTTCAAGGACAGTAAGTATGAACTACTTCAGCCTGTAATTAAAGAATTAACATCAACAGCCCTTCAAGCACTAATTAGCAAAATATGTTAAAAGAGAAAAAGCCAACTTCTTCCCATGGATTTAAAAAATAAAATAAAATCAATCATGCATATATCTAGAGTAAAGGATCATTCATGGAAATTTTAATTTGGCATCAACATTAAACAAATATTCAATTACAAAGTTAAGCTCTTCTGATAATAGGCAAGTCTTATCCTTAAACATGTTAAAGAAATTTCAACTGAAAAAAAATATTCCAGCAACAGCTTTTTATTTAACTGACCACACCAAAGCAAATTTAGAAATCTCTACTATTGAAAGTATTTATCCATTGAAAGGTTTTAGTTTTATCTCATGGTATTTCATTCAGTCAGAACATTTTCATTTCATGTCATTTTGCTTTTCACTTCCTTTTAAGAAAAAAAAAAGTGTGGGTGGAAAAAAAGAAGTCACACTAAGACTGATTTTATGCCAATAAAGTGAAACACCAAAACGCACTATTAAAAGTCAAACTTTTACAGAACAACAAATTACACAAAGTTATAGTTCATACTCTGGGAACCTGAGAGTACTTCAGTTATTGTTAAGAGACTTAACCTATAAATCTGGGGAACACAACACACCAGATCAGAGACCTTCTTCCATGCCCAACTGCTACTCAATATCCCTGTCTTCTACCATGTATGTATCAGCCAACTTCACTAAAACATCTGTTTTGAAATACAGAGAATAATTAAATAAATAAATGTAAGAGCAGCTATTTCCCTCAAGAACTAGGAGTGCACTGTATGGACACTAGTAAGTCATTACTTTCTCAAGAGCCTTAGAAGTAGCAAGGGAAAAATCAGCAATACCAGACTTTTTATCTCAAAAGTATGGAACTTTGACTAACTTATGTCATTACGAATAATATTATGTATATCATTAGGAAGCTGCCTGGCTGAAGAGGCTCCTACCAGACACGACAGCTTGTGCAACCACTTCTGAGCTGACAGCATGGCATTTCTTGCACTATGCTCTCAATTTTTCAGTGAAGCAGAGCTGGTAGAAAATATTCCATTATCTGCTTCTCTGTCCCTGAGACAGTACATTGTTCCTTGCAGTAATTATCCTCGCAGATTCAATTTATACACGCTTCACATGTAAATGTGTGTTCAGTAAGACACATCATTCACAGAAGTGACATTTCAAGTAGAATGCTGACAACAAGGGCCTAAGAAAGGAAAGAGAGTAAATACAGACAATATGGCTGAAAAGTGCATTAGGCTTCAGAGGATCAATATGGAAGATATCTCAGGTACGAAAATACTTCATCAAGCTGGAGTTACAGAAATGTAGAGTCTCCAATACTACTGAAATAAAATAGGAAACTGCATTGATCTATTAGCAAAAGAGCTAGTGAAATTCTCTTGGTCATGTGAAATAGGACAGTCAAGAAAGAAGTAATTTCTTCTTGTGGCTGGGGCTCTGAAAAGCTTGCCACCAAACTTAGTCCAGCCCAGCCTCCAAAAGACAAATCCGTATGTTTTACAGCTTGTTTAACAACTGGCTCAAAAAGTTCATTAGCAAGTTTACGTAATTTAAATTAGCATAGCAACTTATAAATGTCTTAGCCTTAAAGAAGTATAACTAAGGCATTTCTAAATCATTCAAAAATTCAGATCCTGAAAATAAAGGTGACAGAAACAAAGATAGCTATTCACAGAAGTGTATCAAAACATGATGAAAATTTTATCAAATTTTAGAAGTATATTCCATGAGCTGTATAAAATTGACCATGTTTACTATTTTAAAATATAAAGCTGTAGCAAGAGATGAAGTTCTGCAATAAATTTTTTTAGCTTCTCTTCAAGCCTTTTCTCATATTCAGAGAATGTGATCTCAATACCTTGATTTATTTCAAAGACAAACAGCTCCCCCCAGAGCAGTCACCAGTACTATTCTGTAGGTAAGTCGTTTCTGACAAAATGCAACTCCCACATTCAGCCAGTGACTGAATTTATATTTCTCCTGAAATTCTATGATTCACCGATCCAGGTCTAAAAATTTGTTTATTAGTTAAAAATGCTGTTTATGAACAGAAGCAAACAGCACTGAAATTGTTACAATAATTACACAATATGCTCCTTACCCCATCTAGAAGAGTGTTTGTTAGATGTGTGCGAAGATCTTTACGAAACGGAAACTCCAGGTTGGATACATGAAAAATGGAATTGTCTCTATCAATCATATAAACTTCATTCTTGCCATCAATCAGCATCATGTACCTGGAAAGGCAGTGTTAAGATATTATAATTACAGGTATATCCTCAAAATCTCTATTACTTTGTTTTATATTAAGTGTTAAAAACAAGTAATCATGACAGATATTATAAAAAAACATATTTTAAAAGGATTTTTTTACATTTAAAAGTTTAAATCTGTAAACTAACCAAAGGGATATGCCAGACCATATGATGTAGTTCTCAGCAATAAAAAATGGGAGAAGGAGGAGGAAGGAGGGGACATTTGGAGTTACGGTGTTTTTCTTCCCAAGTCACTGTTGAACATCATGAAGCCCAGCTTTCCTAGAAATGGCAAAATACCTGCCTGCCAATGGAAAGTAGTAAAAATTCCTTACTTTTCCTTATATTTTCTCAACCCTTGATCTTTCACACTTTCAGTCTTCTGATTTTCTCACCCATCCTGTTACAGACAGGAGAGAATAGTGGCTATGAGTGCTTAGTTGCTACAGCATTTTAACCAGGCCACACCCTAGATATTCCTTTCTCATGGACAAACACTTCAGGGCTACAATTCTACAACTGTAACAGACCTTTTAAAGCCCACGGAGAATTTTCACAGGTATTCTGTATGCAAACAAGGGTTTTGTTAAGTATACCTCTCTGCATGCCATCTTCCTTCATAACTAGATGATCTGGATGGTCCCTTCCAATCCAAATCATTCTATGATCCTATGATTTCTATGATTCTGTATCTTACTTCAGAGAGATGCTGAGAAACAGCATGTGCTGACTTTGAAGACAGAAAAAAATCTTGTCTCAGGACAGTGAATTACTTTTATGTAGACCTATCTGTCTGGGTCTCATGGTAATATACGTGTCTAACTTAGAATCTGAACAAGTTCTCTGCTTCAGACATTAACCTGATCCAGATATGTCTCATTTTGGAAGTAGTTTTTTTGACGCTTTTTTAGCTGAATGGCTGAAAACTCCTCTAATCTCCCAATTTAATAAACTACTGAAATAAAACTCTGAATGTGGTCCAAACAACAGAATTTATCGAAGTTCTAATTACTACCAACATAAGACAGAAAAAAATTTGGTCAAGGATGGATTGACAAACAGAAGTGTTCTATGAGCAGCTAATAATTGAAAATGTGCAAGAAGCAAGAGATAGGTAAGGTTTTGGTGAAACTGAATTTATCAATTAATGAGGGATTTGAGCTGGGTGGTTGTTTGAGGTTTTTTGCTTGCTTGTTTCACTCAAAAAGCTTAAGTTCTTGTGCTTAATATCAGGTTTAAAGTTTTCTCCAGATGACACTACAAGCATTCATGGAGAAATCTTGCAGACTGCTGAACAGTATATTTCTGAATATTATTTCGATGTACCAAGGCCATTTACATTTTAAGAAGTTAATTAAGGTATTAGCAGATAAGCACTTACACCAGAATAGAGAACACGCCTCTGGGCAACACCACAAAGGCAAAGAAAGAAGAGAGATGATTTCTCAAACGCATTCACTAGAGACAGAACACAGGAACTTAACTGTCATGCACTGCACTGCCCACTGTCAACACTACTTGCTATTACAGCTGTACATTTATTACTAATTACCTCTATTGTGTGAGCACCCAAAAGCTCCAATTAGTAACCAGGCCCCATTGTTTTAGACCCTGGGCAAGTACACAAGATGACATGGTCCTACATCAGATGGCTCAATCCGAATGTAAAACCAGACAAGTAAATAAAATAACAAAGGCAGAGCAGCAATAAGAGCAATAACAGAATTACTCATTCACCTCTGAAAACTATACAAGGAAGTAGAGAAACATGTTTGAGCTACAAACATCATCTCACAAAACTGTCAGTGCAACCACTACAAACCAAGAAATTCTGACAAATAGAGGGTCACGGCATCCATGCAGATTAATCTCACAAACAGATAAAATATCTAGTCATAGAAATTATAAAATCTAGTTACATTAGAAGCTACTTTTCATTCACTTCTGATCCTGAGGCAAGGCCTGTTATTAATTCTATATTAATATTATTATAGACATTATTATTAACACAATAATTCAGGAAATAGGATGAAAATTTCATTAACAGAGTGACAGTTCTTGGTATTAGACAAACAGATCTCCAAATCACTTACCAGAGTATTAATAACTTTAATTTTTAAACTTTAAAAAATGTCAACCATCAAATAAAGTTTTCTCTTCAGAAATCAATTATTTTTAGCATACCCAAATAAAGGCAACTCTATCAAAAGCTCATTTGCCTCCACAGAGATCCTGTATCGTGCAATCCACATCAGTTGGGCCCCAAAGACAAGCTAAAAGAATTTTTTTATTAGACTTCCATTTTCAGTTGAGCATGTTTCAGTGGTGGCGGTTAAATTTTTGGTTTTTACACAATTTTGAAGCTGACATGAGCTACACTGAAAATCCAAAGTTAAAAATGGAGGTTTCTCCTTTATGTGGAGGTTTAGCATTTTTCATCATTAAATTTGAAAGTACATTTCAGGAAGATATTACTTAATGCCTTAAATAAGGTAAATTACTTGGTGTCAGTCAATCTATGGTCATTGAGATTAAGGGACAAGAACAGAACTGCATTTCCTAATCTCCAAATCTGACACTGTACCCACTGTACCCATGTGGCCTCTGCACTCTTTTCCAAATTATTAGGATTCACAAAACTGGATTTGAAATGCTCCCCCAACACAGTGCCTCACTACACAGGGTGTAGTGCTTACCAAAACACATTTACCACAAAATTGATTGCCTATGTATTCACAGAAGTTTTGCCTCCAACTTTGATTTTGTCATGCACTTTATCTATGTTTAACTTCTTTCTCTCAGCCAAAATGACAGCAACCATCTCAGCAGTAAGCTTACATATGTTAATTTTGTGCTTTTAAAACCTTGAGTATAATATAAAAATATAACACAGCTTCCTCAAACTTTAAGATCCTATCTTCTGAGCTTGAGTTCAGCACACAAGTGATTTTCTGAAAAAAAACCTACAAGTAGCAAATGGATTAGAAATATTGTTTCAAAGGAAGCTTAAAAATTCAGCTCCTCTAGGAGCTTTCTTCGCCCTGCAGTATTTCTTTAGACAGGCTATATCAAAGAAGATTATTTATTTCGACACAGCGCTGCCGTCGCTGCTTTTTTTCATTTTCCTTTCTAAATATGCCTGTGTCTGTATTATCACATTAAAGAATGCAAAATATAAGAAATTCCATCAACTCTAAGCGCAAAATACATAGCAGCTCTCCATTCCGAAGGGAGTTCATTACACAACCTGGAATTCAGTCTTGTGAAAGTGCTGCCCTCCCACACAAATAAGCATTACCCAAATCCGAACAGCAATTAGCATCTCTAATATGCTCACCGACACAGAGGCAACTACAAATCCTGCTGCAGATATGATTTTCAGATTCTTAATTTCCTTTTATCATTGGCAACATTTCAAAAAACACGAGTGCATCACCACTCCGTACATGGATCATCCAAGATGAGGCCAAGTCACATAAGTGTTTTACTTTGGACCCTGCCACTCCCTCCTGGCAAGAAAGCATCAACTGCTAGCCAAATGCATCAAACACTGAGGAAAAGGCCAGGAGAATGAAAATTAATGACTGCCCTTTATCCACTGACAGTAGGAGATCATCTATCTGTGTCACTAAGCTGCTGCAGTTCCATGTCCTGAACCAAATCCAGACTGTGCTGGATTTAGAGTAAGTTAAATTAGAAAAGTTCGAAGCTGGCCTGTAGCACATGGAGCAAAAGACCCTAAATCCTGATAAATGGGGATGGCTCAGCTTGCTTTCTTCTATTAATTGCTGCTGGCAGTGGTTGCTGCTTCAAAGGATGTCTCCTCAAGGATGATAAAGCCTGGATACAGGGACTCTAACACAGGAACTTACAAGAAGACTTATAATATTATTTTCAATATGTAAACAAAAGGAAACAGTGTCTTTTTAACCAGCACACTGACAGTTCTGTCACAAATCACCTTCTCCAAAGTTGCACACACGTTGTCATTTGCATGAGTACAAAGCACTGCAGCCAGCAAGAAACACTGCTTGCTACATGCAGAAGCTGCTGTGGAACTATGTATTCAACAGCCCAAATTCCAAATAATTTCTTAAAAAACACACACATAGACCTTTGGAAGGTAGTCTGCTGTGAGTATACCAACATTTTGTACTTCTCTCACTTATTTATAGGTTAAAGAATGCCATCAGTGGTCTCCACAGCATTTTAAACAAAAAAAAAATCCCTTAGATTGTGAGTGACAGTCATTTCCAATTAGCAGCCTCCAGCTCCAATATTTCTCTGTCATGACCTTGCATTTTCTACTACTAAATATTCTTCCAGTTTTATTATTCTGCTCCTCAGTGAATTCAGTGGCTGATGTCCCTCATTTGTTTATCAGAACATATTTGGATTCTGTTTAAAAACACTTAATGATAAAACAAAATTAATATTCAGGATCGCTACTTGTGTATGCATTTGCTTTCAAAACCATCCACTGCCATTTTCTTTCAGTCTGTTCTTTACCTATCCTAGAATTCTAGCAATTTTCTTACCCTCACTCTCCCTCTCATAAATAGAAATTTTGTCAAAGTCCAGAAGCATGAGATGTACCAGTCTTTCTAGGCCAAAACCACAATTTTTCCCTTATACCAACTCCTATCAAAATGGCTGAACTCAGAGGAAATCCCATTCCTCATCTATACTGCAGACTGTGTTCCTCAACCACAGTAATTCTGAGTAATTCTATTAGCTACAGCTCATAGAGGCAACTAAATCTGTCATTTAATAAAGAGAAAACCTGCATTTTTGATCTATTTTTACCTCTCATTATAATCATAATTCAAATTTAAACCAAAGCTTTAGCATGATTGATCCAAACTTGGCTTCTAAAATCAAGACATTTTTTTCCCCTCAGTACTAAAATACTGCTACTAAGCTCTTGTTTAGTACATAAATGTGTCTTGGATATCTCTTAGTACACTCAGAAGCCCTTGGGT